TCCTTCCCGTCCTCTCTGCTCGTGCCCCTGTGCCCGGGATTCTCCCCGGATTGTGCCCTGCGGCTCCCTTCGCTTGTCCCTCCATCGCTCCTCAGCCCCCGAGCCCCCGGCTCCCTCCGGCGTCCTTCCAGCTGCACCGGGGCTTGCGTCCGTCCCTGCGCGTCCCACTGTCCCTCCTCCGCCTGTCCCACTCTATCTCCTGCATCCCTCGCCTCGTCTGTCTGCCCTGCGTGTTCATCTGGTTCACTGCCTGCATCTGTCTGTTGAGGCTTGCGTTCGCCCGTCCTCCCTTTCTGTTTGTTTCCCATTTATTTAGCTTTCATTTGTCGTGTTGGCCTTGTCTGTTTGTCTGCTGCGTGCAGTGTCCTACCAAGGGTGTCTGTCTCCTCTCTGTCCGTCAGTCCATTTACTAATTGTGCCCTCCATCCCCAGAGTACCAGCCATCTCAATCCTGTCCAGCCATTGCAGTTATGTGTCACCGAATCCCTTCGGCATAGCTTTCCAGTAGTTTAACCACTGTTTCTGTGAACTTTGCACATCTGGCTGTAACACCATCACTCTGCAAATTACCTCCCTCCTGTCTGTCTGCCCATCTCTCCGTTCCCTCATTGCTCTATCGCTCGGTTCATTTTTCTCTCTCTCTATCTTCTTGTGGCATCTATATATCATTTGTCCACAAAATAAATCTCTTTCTATCCTGAATGCTGCCCACTCATCTTCTTTATCTACCCTCCCACTTACCAAAGGCATATACATTTACAGTATCTATGGGATCTGTTGCATTATACATATGCTTGTTATATTCACATACAAAATTTATGAGCGCACACAATCTCACACAACACAAGTGAAGTGGATCAGTGCAGCAACACCGTACTGTTCTTTTGCTGTCACTGTCACCACAGTTTATGAAGAAGTTGTGCATTTACTAATATGCGAAAGGCTTTCTGAGCCTACATTTTGGGGTTTGTTATTTTTTAATAGGCTGTTATTGGGAGATCTAGGGTGGGCTTGTACTTCCATTTGGTATTCAGTCAATCACTGGCTTTTGTAACGCTCCCAAAATTGACTTGATGTAAAACGTAGACAAACACAGTGAAAATTTTTGTCACTGAACTATTACAAGGTACTGAATGGGCTCTGGAGGCACATTTGAAAGGCATCTAGGGTGACAAATGAAGACACCGACTACGCAAAAAATCCCATTCAGAGATTGACAAAAATACTAAGGATTCTTAGGAGAAGAAAAAGGAAGAAAAATCAGCATTTGCCTCTGTACAGAAGGAAGCAAAACAGATAAGGGCAAATGAGATAATGTCTTTCCAGCAGTAATTTTAAATAGAGATTGGGATGCTTTGATTCAAGGACCAGAATTACCGTCTCCGCCATAAAGGCCAGCTTGCACATTTATCACCTACGCCAAATTTAGTTAGGACTTATAGTACAAAATTGCGGGAGGGCCACTGGTATTTCTGAAACATTTCATGCAGCAAGCTCTTCTGTTTACAAATAAGGGGTTATGTCAGACATTTGGTGACATTTGGTTTTCCGTGACAATTTCTCTCTAATTCTGGTGTTACAGAAAGCGTATTGAGAACAGCCAATAACGGCATTACAGCGGGAACAACCGCTTCATTGCCTCACCTCATATGGGAGTTTATCGTTTCGGGGAGAAAAGGCAGAGATCGAAATGATTAATAATAGCAGATATTCTGTCAGACTAAGTGGGGGTTAGCTTGATCTGTTGGACAAGCAGGCACATTACTGAAATATTTTCCCTTCTGTCTCGTGAATCCTCTCCCTTAAACTGCAGCGAGAATATGTGCAAATCGAAACGAAACCCCTGGTTTGGCATTGGCGTTTCAGTGGTGATCGAAAGAGGTCTCCCTGTGAGAATTGTCAGGTAGCTGAAAGTTAAAACTATTCTTAAACTGACAAGATAGCAGAGTCCTAGTGCCAGTCTTTTTTCAAGGTGCTGCTGTAGCATCTTTAAAGCTGGCTGGCTGGAAAAACATATATTCTGGAGAGCTCTTGCTGATGTCTGTGGATCTGACACATCTGACTACAGCCCGATGATGAAGGCTGCTGCAGGAAGTCCCCTTTTCAATTAATTTTGACTGCGAATTAGGGATATCTGATGCAGTGAATGCCTTCTGGCTGGCACAGCCCTGTCACAGTTCGCTCAATCTGCTGTGCTCTAGTGTTGTCCCTGAATCCAGAAAGGCACACAAGCTAACGTTTCCTTTTTGACTTAATCTTGCTGATCTCTCCTTATCTTGCAGACGATCTGGCCTCATCTAGAGTTCGCCTCTATTTCTTCATCTCGAATGAAGGGAACCAGAACTTGTTTGTCGTTCAAGCCAGCCTGTGGCTTTACTTGAAGCTGCTTCCATATGTCTTAGAGAAAGGCAGCAGGCGAAAAGTAAGAGTCAAAGTCTATTTCCAAGACCCGGACACTAGCAACAAGTGGAATGTGGTTGAAAAGAAAGTTGATCTCAAAAGAAGTGGTTGGCACACTTTTCCCATGACAGAGGCGATCCAGGCTCTGTTTGAGAGAGGAGAAAGGAGACTGAACTTGGATGTTCAATGTGAGGGCTGTGAAGAGTATTCAGTGCTGCCAATTTATGTGGACCCCGGGGAGGAATCCCACCGGCCTTTTTTAGTGGTGCAAGCTCGCCTCGCCGATAACAAACACAGGATCCGGAAAAGAGGCCTGGAGTGCGATGGCAGGACCAATCTATGTTGCAGGCAACAGTTTTACATTGACTTTAGACTCATTGGGTGGAATGACTGGATCATAGCACCATCAGGTTACTATGGGAATTACTGTGAAGGGAGCTGCCCGGCCTACTTGGCCGGTGTCCCGGGGTCGGCTTCCTCCTTTCACACCGCTGTCGTGAATCAGTACCGAATGCGGGGGCTGAACCCGGGCACCGTGAACTCCTGTTGCATTCCAACCAAACTTAGCACAATGTCAATGCTGTACTTTGATGATGAATACAACATTGTGAAAAGGGACGTTCCCAATATGATTGTGGAAGAATGTGGTTGTGCTTGATTTAAGGTGTGTTTTGGGGGGGGAGAGAGAGAGAGAGAGAGAGAGTAAGAGAGAGAGAGAGAGAGAGAAACATTCCCGTACAAGATGGTGTTGGAGGAAGTTTCACTGTGTATCCAGGCATCAGTGTTGGAAAGTCACTGTGGAAAAGTTTGACAAAAAAAAAAAAAAAAAGAAAAAATAATCATTTCACTTTGGTGTCAGGACAGTGGCAGTTTGTGGATCATGGACACTTATATATTCTACCACTTATAAGTTAATGCTATGAAATATCTTAAAGACACACACACACACAAACACACACACACACGAAATGTGGGCACGCACACAAACACGCGCTCATACACAGAGACACAGACACACACACACACACACGAGGCAGCTCGGAAAAGGGACATGAGCACAGAAAGTCAGTGACCAGTGACGACGGACCTAAATGCCTGCCAGTACGAGTGAACGGCTGAGCAGCTGTTTCCCCACCTGCCGGTGAAGCCAGACCGAAATGAGCTCCCTTTGCTCAGGCAAAAGCACAGACTGTGAGAACACAACGTATTCTTGCACGCAGGTGTCGAAATGACCAAACTTACAAATTTAAAAAGAAAAAAAAAAGGAAAAAAGTTGACTGTCACCTCTTAGGTCTAACAGGAAGCTGCAGGACACCTGCCTTGGGAGGAGATCACTTCCTCTTAATTTAAATTTATCTAAACATAAACATCCCAGATACTTGCATCTTCCTACAGCACTTCCAGCAAGGAATCGTGTGGTTCCATCAGAGAGAGAGAAAAGGGGGCAGACATGTAAGCGACTGCTGTATTCCTACCACCTGGCTGTTGCAAAGTCACAAGCTGGGCTGGCGTGATCCAATGCTTTCACTGCCCACGAGCAACCCGTGGATGGCTGCACGCTCCGTGTCTTGAAAAAGGGGATTGATACTGTATCTGGACTGTGTTGACTGTTGGCATCTCTCACTGTTCAAAGAACAAAAAGTCAAAGTTGCAGTCTGTGTTCTTCAATGGGGGACTCGGCAAGGACACGTCACGTGGGGGACGAGCAAACAAGCAATCGCCACCACGGCTAAACCAATGAACCCTAAAGAGGAGTGACAGCGACAGAGTGGAGACATTCTGAGAAATGCAGTGCATTTAATAACAGGCGTGGAACATTTTAACAAGTCTTGGAAAGGAGGAGAGAGGAGAGTGCTTTCAATTTCCTTACCAGGAGGTGTCAAGGATGGCCATAAAGATCAGAAAATAATGATACAGCATAGCACTTGCAAACTGCTTGAATGCACGTATAATAGCACTTGCAAATTTCAATGCCTTGAAAAGTGGTACTTGATAGTGCACTTATCTTTGCTCACTATCTAGGTAAACAGGTGCCGCATGAGCTATGCAATTTAAAGTGTTGACCCATACTAGACAAAACTGGACTTATGATATGACTTTTTTATATTTTTTTATACTTGAAATTAAATCTTTTGCTTCTTTTTTAAAGCGAATGATTGCTTTTAATGTTTGCACTGATTTAGTTGCATGATTAGTCAAAAAACTGCCATTTGAAAAAAAATGTTATTTTTATAGCAGCAAAAAATGAATACAGTTAAATGTATTATACATAAATTTTGGAACCAAAGAGGCCAACATATTAGTTATAATTTTTATGAGATGGCAAAGCCATCATATATCATGTAGTCATACTGAGCAATCCCTCACGAGGCCTACCAATTGTTTCAGGGTACAAAATGGATTCTGTTTGTTCTATTCAGTGTCTTTTCTATACCATACGCACATGGAATGTAGAGTGAAAAAAAAAGTGACTATTGTAGAATACATTACAATATGTGCATCCTTTAAATTCAATTTTTATGTTTATTTAATAAAGTTCCTTTTAGGTTCTGTTCCATAATAATTTAAACCAAACAATTTTCACTTAGATTTGCTGTTGAAGTATTTTACATTTGTGTACAGTTTAAATAAATAAAAAAGATTGAAAACTGGATGTGCTTTTTTTTTCTTCAGTGTGTAACATCTGGAGGAACTTGCTTACTTTCGGGACTGAATAGGCTGCAGACGGTGAACTGTCGCATTAGACCGTAGTCATATTAGTCATTGCAGAAAGCCTTGTCTGAAAGCTTAGCTGCGATCCTAAAAATGTTACACTCTAGTTTTATTGCTGTCTATACGTGTAAGCATCTGCTTCTTTCTATCTACAGCAGTGCAGGGGCTCTGGGCACAGGAACAGAGCTGTTCCGCATACCTGCAGGTCATTTACAGCAAGTTCCTGGTTCACCTGCTGTGTAAGAATGTAACTTCTTCTCTGGGTCACTCCCTGACTGGTTAGAAGAGGTAAAAAAATAATAACATGGAAAGCACTTCCAGGAAAAAAAGATCAACACTAAGCGTGATTGACTTTTTTTTTTAAATTAGCTGGCACTGAGGAGATTTGGGGTTTTTTTTAAAAGTGAAATACATCCCTTTTACTAACCCCCAAAATGTTGACAAATACTTGTAAAATTCTTGTCAGCTGCACATATATCCAGATACTGATTTAATTGATATTCACAGATAAATTCTTCCTCCTGGAGACCTGAGCAAATGCCATCTGAAGCTGACAGAAGGACCTCTGTTGACTTAGCAAATGTCAGATCTGACCCTGAGACATGAAAGGTATTGAAGAAGCAAGTTCACACAACTAACGCTGGGTTCTAGTTAACAGTTCACTTTCAAGTGTAGCTCTGCCCAGCTCTCCCCAAAGCCAGGTGCTGGGGTTAAACAGGAGACCTCAAAGACCAATTTGCTGTGATGTGTCAATAATCTGCTTCTCAGAAATTTCTCCTCCTGATCAAAGTTTTTGGGTATTTCATAGCTTTCTCACCACCTTGAGTAGCACATTGGTTGTCAAAGCCACTACTCACTGTTCCTGCTTCATCTCTTAGCAGCCTTCTCCCCAGTCTTTGCTTCCTGGGTCAACTGTGCAACTGATGAGTTCAATAAATTCCCCTTGAAATTAGTGGCAAATACCCATCTCTTCAGTCTGAAGGCATGATTGACCTAAAATGACACCATCATTATGAATAAGACTGGGCTGCGCTTTAAAAAATGGGATATATTAATAAGTGTTGCCCATTGAAATGCAAGGCCATGGAGGCTGGGTCTGCTTAGGTTTCGTTCTTAATTGAAAGTGTTTGGTTTCTGGGGTCAAAGCCAAGCCCTGCATTGGACACTGGGACTCCTGTGCTCTCTCAGGAGGAGAGGAGGGTGTCTCAGCATGGAATTTGGACCTGCATCCCTGGGGAAGAGGGAACTGCTGGCAGCCAAGATGTCTTGAGCTTGGCCAGGAGCAA